TTTACTTAATTTAAATCCATGTTCCAATTCTATCAATTGTTCAAAAAAAAGGTTTTTAGTTTTTTTCCCTTTCTGATACAGGATCTAATTCAGAGACACACAGTGCATTTGGTTCATATGTCTTTAGGTCATCTTTAACCTGGAAACGTCCCCCAGCCTTCCTTTGTTTTTCATGATATAAATTTTTTAAGATTACAGGACAATTATTTTATTGAATGTCCTTCAACATGGGTTTGTCTGCTGGTACCTCATGGCTATCATCAGGTTATAGATTTTAGCTTAACTATTTCAGAAGTGATGGTGTGCTCTTCTTGAAGTATTGTATCTGGGGCTGGGGATTTAGCTGAGTGGCACCTCGCCTGCCTCACAAGCACAAGGTCCTGAGTTTGATCCCCGGTACTGGAAAAAAAAAAAAAAAGAAGTATTGTATCTGGAGACACATGATGATGTCCAATCTGCCCTCATTTTCTAATTATCATTTCTTCATTTGTAATTAACAAATGAAGGAGGAGTTAACGTGAGATCATGTTCATAACTTGTTCCTCAGGAAACTCCCTAATCTCATTTTAGGTTAGCATCCACTGATGACAGTCACCTGAAGAGATCTCACTGTGATGATGATTGCTGTGTCTTCTGTTTGTTTGATTAGTTCTTGAGATAGGGTCTTGCTATATGCCTCAGGTTGGCATTAAACTCATAATCCTCCTGCTTCAGCTCCCGAGTGTTGGGATTACAGGTGTGTGCCACTATGCCCAGTGAATGTCTTAATCATTTATTGAATTATATTATTAGTTGAACAGACTCATACATTATTAATTTATTAAATCAGTTATATTCTTTATTTTATGTTTTTGGTACTGGGGATTGAACTCAGGACCTTGCGCTTGCAAGGCAGGCGCAGTGTCACTTCAATCAGTTATATTCTATAACTCAAATTGTACTAGATTTGGCAGTAGGAAACCTTTCAAGCTTACTTTGGGTCCTCTGACATCTCCCCAAAATCTTGAGGGAGCTGCTGCTTCCTGCTCCAGCACCAGAATCACTCATTTCTCTAAGAACCTCTAGTTCATTAGTGAAGAATAGCATTTAGAACCTAAGGTAGGAAGATTGGTATTTGAATTCTGAAAAAAGAAAAGCTATTTCTCATAGGAGCAAAGTTTGTAACAGAGGTACACAAGGTGGGCATGGTGGCAGACACCTGTGATCCCAGCATTGTGGGAGAGTGAGGCAGGGGATCACAAGTTCAGGGCCAGCCTGGGCAAGTTCTCAAGACCGTGTCTCATAATAAAAAATAAGAAAGGGCTGGAGATGTAGCTCAATGCTAAGGCCTGGGGTGGGGTGGGGGTTACAGAAGATTCTACCCTGGGTGACACCATTTATATGATATCTAAAAGAAAGGGGCATTTTTGGAATATATAACTGGTCCAGCCCATTATGATTTACTCTATAACCTATACAGGTCATCCCCCCAACTTTGGTGACTAAAACACTACAAGATAACTGAATCTTCAGTCAAGCTGTTCCATTTACCTGCTCTGAAGGGGCATCTAGCTATGACAGGATCTCAAAATATTCATCAAATCCCTTAGAAGGTTATTAATATTTTGTTTGCACCCAAGGTGGTCCAGGTTAAGAGCTCTCTTTTGTGCTACTAATACAAGTAAAATATCAAGAGCAAGAGCATCGTGTATAAAGAAGTAAAATAGGGCTGGGGATTTAGCTCAGCGGTTCTGCCGCCTGCCTCGAAAGTTCAAGGTCTGGAATTTGATCCCCAGTACCAAAAAGAAAAAAGAACCAAAATAAAGAATACAGAGGGGCCAGAGATTTAGCTTAGTGGCATCGCTCCTGCCTTGCAAGCACAAGGTTGTGAGTTTGATCCCAGGTACCAAAACAAAAAATAAAAATAAAATTAAAAAAAGAATACAGAATACAAAAAAAGTTTATTTCTAGTTGTGACCTAATGAGTTAAAACGACATCTAGCAGGGCTGAGGATTTATCTCAGTGGTTCTGCCGCCTGCCTCGAAAGCGCAAGGTCCTGAGTTCAATCCCTGGTACCAAAAAAAAACTACACCTAGCAGGGCTGGGGCTGGGGCTGGGGCCCCGTGGTAGACCACTTACCTACTATTACTATGCGCAAGGACCTAGGTTTGATCCCCAGTAGTGAAAAGAAAAAAACCCAAAAAAACAGCTGCACTTAGTATAGATAGGCTAGCCTTACCCACACACAACGCTCCAACAAGTAACCAGGCTGAAATGGGAAGTTCACCTGCCAGAGTTACCAAAGTAATTGTGAAACAAAAATCCAAGAGCATCATCTTCTTTTCCAACATGAACTATTTTTACCTACTTGAAGCTTTCTATACCTAAAAAAACAACTACAGAGGTAAAAATCTAAAGTACAAATCTAGCAATCAAGACAAGGCCAGTTAACGAAGGAGTATGACAAAGTAAATATGATTTCCTGCTGCCAGATACACAGGCATGGCCAGTATCTCCCCAAACATCTCCCCAGATAGCCGAGCATGTTGGTACACGCCTGCAGTCCCAGCTATTTGGGGGACTGAGGCAGGAGGATCACAAGTTCAAGGCCAATCTGGGTAATTCAGCAACACACTGTCAAAAAATAAAATTTAAGAAGGCCTGGGGATGTAACTCAGGAGTAGAGCACCTGCCTAACATGCACAAGGAAGGTCCTGGGTTTAAACCTTAGTCACACACACACACACACTCCTCCCTGGACAATAGAATCAAAGCACTCCAACAGACAAGCACTTTCTTTGCTTCAAGGGAGCTTCTCTTTTTTAGACAAAAAGGTATTTTCAGAAGAAAGAAAAAGGTAAAAAGTATTCCAAATACAAGTTTTTACAATGAAAATTAAAGGCTCTGCACTGGATTATGAAGCTTCTTTCCATAATAAAATCCACACTGTACAAAGGCTTTTAGGATATGACTTTTTTAAACCATTAAGGGAGCCAGGAAAAATACAATACTATATTATGTACTTAAGCAACAGAAACCTCATTTAATACATATGTATTTAGTAATTTATATATATGAGCTAGTTTTCTAAGGTATATACTTATTTGAGGTAAAGAGGTAAAATGGAGAAAACCTGAAACAGGAATTAGGAGACCTAAGTTCTGATCCATCAAGTCATTATATGACCTTGGGTAAATTAGTGAAACTTTATGGATTTGCACAGTGTAATTTGTGTAATGAAACAGTTAAAGCAAATGGCTTATAGTTCTTTTTACTCTTTCACCTGCTATATAAATATATACCATTTCACTACACAGCATAAATTTTTATAAGGCTAATGAGATGTTTCCACAGCAGGAAACAGAATTTAAGCTAAACAGGTGTGGATGGCTTTAATCAATGGCCTTGAGCTTCTTACCAGCAGAGATTATTCCAAGAGAAAGACTCCTGCATTTTAAAATGCTACTTCTTGGAAATTATGTGCCAGGTGCTGGGCTGAGCTCTTACACACACTGGCTTTTAGCCCTCGTCACATGCCTCTGGCAGGTATTACCTGTCCCTCAGTGCAGACAGGGCTCAGAGAGATTACCCCCCCACCAAGGTCACAAAGCTTGCAAACAGCAAAACTGGCACTTAAACCCGGGACTGACGCCAAAGCCTATTCCTTTATCCACTCCACTCCACCAACTCCTAATAAATAAATCCTGAGCCAAAACACTCTTATTTAATCTCTGACAGGTACTGACTATTCCCCTTTTCACTGTGTAGAGAGAATGCAGTAAAACTGGTAGCCAACCAGAAAATAACTCCAAATTAATCACATGAACAAAAAGATTATTTTTTTATTATTTCTCTTTTTATTGTCTATGAGACAGGGTTTTGCTATGTTGCCCAAACTAGCCTTGAACTCTTGGGTCCAAGTGACATTGCTGCTTCAGTCACCCGAGCAGCTGGTACTACAAGCATGTGGCACTGTGACCAGCTAAACGTATGCATTTCTTTTTTGGGCGGGTACCAGGGATTGAACTCAGGTCCTTGAGCTTGTGCAGCAGGCAGTAAAACCACTGAGCTAAATCCCTGGCCCACATATGCATTTCTTAGAGAGAAGTGTGTGTCTGCTTTAACCAACCTTTCCTTTTAATAAAAGTAAGGAAAGTAGCAATAGTCACTGTGTCTGGAAGAGTCTTAAGGGCAACACTATTGTTCATTCAGCAGACCAAGTTACCCTGAGGTGGATGTGGGCCACAAGAAAGAGGGGCTCTGAGAAGACAGCTCCTCTCATGACATCGGTGTGGATTCCCAGACTCTGTCACCGTCTTCAGTGTACTGTGTAACTCCTACACAGCAACTCAAGGTTCAGAGACGGGGCCCTAACACAGAGATTCATTCTCCTCTTGCTTCACACCCGGCCACTGAGATGGCAGAACGACTATGCCATTACTGCCTATCTTCTGTGGCTGTTTAGCATGTTACGAAGCAGGGAGTGAGGTCATCTACATACAATTCCACACGCTAAAAAAAATACCTAGTGAGTTACTTTCACCACCACCACCCCCGCCGGGGCCATAGTGACCCTCTTCTCATCTGTTCTCCCACATTTCGTTAAGACACTGCTGCCTCTCAAGAAGAAAACCTCTCAAGAGGACTTTCAAGGCTAGAAGCAACCACTTCTATAAGCTGCAGACAGTGAGGGTATTTTACAAAGAGGATAAATAAGGACGCAAAAATAAAACCACCAAAGATACAGTCATCTGGACAGGAATGGATTTTTATAAAGTAGATATTTCAATTGTCTTTATTCCCCCTATAGAATAAACAAGCTTCTCTAAAACAATGTCCTCCAATCAAAGACAGCATTACTCACATACTGGCTGGCCCCCAAACTTAATTTTGGTTCTAAATCTGGGCTGGTGTTCCCTAAAAGCTTATAGAAATAGAAAGCTGTGCCCATCGTGTGCACTGTGGATCTACTCTGTATCTCATTCAGCCAAAGAAGAAAAACAGAGCAGTAGAAAATTACCCTTCTTAGATCCGACCCTGGAAGAAGCACTGAAGAATTTCTTCACTGTGGTAACCTTTCGGGTCTTCTCGTTGGTTTTCTTTTCTTCAAACTTAGAAAATGTGAGAGATTGGGCTCCCTGGCTGCTCTGACTGCTGGCAAAGGCCTCTTCCTCCTCCCGCTGAAGCCTGAAATTCAAGAGAGGTTTATAAATGATCTAGATATTACCCAAGTTTTCCTTGTATCTAAAGGCTATCACTTGATTAATTCAGGAGGATCTAAAAATTTTATAACTAGAGGCTACACATGCCAAAGAGATCTGAGGTCTCTGATAGAAGGTGACAGCACAAAGATGATCTACATGCTTCTACAGGCTTCAAATGGGACCTTCCCCCTGGATAATGTGCCTATGTCAGGGTTATGTAAAACAGCTTCGTCCAGTGGTGGTGAACCTATGGCATGTGTGCCGAAGCCAACTATTTGTTAACACTGAACGCTCTAAAATGTTCACCATCACTGTCCCTTTCTCTGATAAGCTCGTTGAAATGGAGAGAGATAAGCAAATAATTACTATTTAATGGGATGGTTCATATAGAACAGAGCAGAAACCAAGTTCTGTGAGAACACAGGACAGAACTTAACCTGGTATGGGAGTGGGAGGTTTTTACAATGGTGACATCTGGGCTTACAGGAGAAACAGGATTCTACGGAGTGAAAGGATATCCAGTCCAAGGAGAAGAAACCCAAAGTGTGAATGGGTGTTGTCTGCCTTACAGCAAGCTCAGTGTGGGCAGAGGACTGACAACTTGAGGGGCTGTGACACTGGGTGGACAGGAAGGTGCCAGAGGGGAAGGAGCCCTGGCTGTGAAGCCCACTATTATTCTGGAGTTCATTATGTGGCAAGAAACCAAGGGAGATTATAGATCCAAGAAGGTATCATTATCAGATCTGTGCTTCAGGAAAATAATCCAAGTTGCTGTGTGAACAACTGAGAGGAAAGAGACTAGTGACAGAAATAACAATTAAGAGTATATGCTAACGTTTAAGTGACAAAATAAGGGCCTAGAAAACAAGTAGAAAGGATGAAATTCCTAAGACTTTTCTGAGCTAGAATAAACGAACTTGCTCAGGGAATTACAGGTTTAAGGGGGCTAAAGGAGACATTACGAATGACTCCAGGGCTTTTTTTTAGCCAACTGGATATGCAGTGAGGCCATTAGATGACACAGAAGGTTAGGAGGAAAATGTTGGGGATGGGAAAGGAGTGAATGGAAGCTACCTGGGTAAGTCTCAAGCACTATCTAGAGAACAATGGCTTCCAAAGATGATAACCCAGGCAGACAGCACCCGCAGCCCCAGAGAAGGTGTGAGCAAAGCAGCCCCTCTAGTCTCACTCTCAGTGTTCACAGAGACTCGGAGGGTGAGGCCTAGCTGTCACTGTCCTCACAGGCTGTCCAGGGGATTCTGATGTCCGCTCAAATGTGAGAAATACTGTGGGATACCAGATGAACGTAATCATTATGTACTGCAAACATGAACTAATGAAAATTCAATTACTGGGCCAGGGATTTGGCTCAGTGGTTCTGCCGCCTGCCTTGCAAGCGCAAGGTCCAGTTTACAAAAAAAAAAAAATTTTTTTTTTTTTTGAGACAGGGTCTCACTATGTAGTTCAGGCTGGCCTGGAACTCACCACAATCCTCCTACCTCAACCTTCCAAGTGGTGAGATTACAAGTGTGTACCACCATGTTCGGCGCCAAAAAAAAAAATAATAAATTTTTTTTTTCTTTTTCTTTTGGTACAGGGGATGGAACTCAGGACCTTGGACTTGCAAGACAGGCGGCAGCACCACTGAGCTAAATTCCCGGCCCTTAAAAAATTTTTTTGAGGAATACTGCCTAGGAAATCTCAAGCATGGTCACAAGTGGAAGCAGTTAAGAAATAGAAATAAACGACACAAGTGGAGGTGTCAGTCTTAGGATGGAACAGGACCACACCTTTCTCTGAGACAGAAGCTAACACAGAGATGTGGAAAGGGGATCGAGTTGAGGGGATTCATGCCCAGGGGTCTCTACCTTCCTTGTGAAAGAGGACCAGCTAAGAGTGTTAGGAGCACGGGAAGCCAACGAAACTGTTGATGCTCTATGTCTATATTTTCTCTTTGATTGACCACAGTCACTAGAGCAGGGAGTGAGCTCTATAATTCTGAGGTCAACACAGACGCCAGCATTTCAGTCATGCAACAAACGAGGGCTGACCAGATACAAAAAACTGAGCAGAAGGTGTCAGGCTGGTTTGACCTTCTTCTGATGAGAAGCTTTACAGTTTCTAGGTTGCTCGGCAAAGGAGTAACATCAGCTGTTTCATCTTTTAACTGTATCATAACCCCTTTTCTAGATACTACAAACTACTTTGACTAACAAACCCCATTTTTAAAGGAAAAGTTGGGCCAGGGATTTAGCTCAGTGGTTTTGCTGCCTGCTGCACAAGCACAAGGACCCAAGTTTGATCCCCAGTACCAAATAAAATAAATAAATAGGAAAAGTTAATTTCCATAATGCAAGGAAATCAACAGGTTTCTACTACTCCGTTTTATTGTTGTGCTGTATGGTATTCTGGATGTATTACAAGAATGAGGGCAATAACCTCTCTAGGTTCTTATTTTTCCCTCTTCACCAGGAAGCATGCTATCTCCACCCTTCTACCCAAAGCCTTTATTTAGACCTTTGTCTAAATGAAAGAACTGGCCAGGTGTGGTGGAGCACACCTGTGACCTCAGCATTCCAGAGGCTGAGGCAGGAAGACTACTGCAAGTTCAAGGCCAGCCTAGGCCACTAATGAGTTCAAAGCCAGTCTGAACTACACTCAAGACTTTGTCTCAAAAAACCAAAACCAAAACCAAACCTAACAAACAAACACTCCTCTCCAAAAGAACGAACTAAGAATGACACAGTCACACCACTGTTACACCACCCCTAGGCAACTTCTTTTACCGCTCTGCCAGCTCCCAATCCTCCTGGATCTGCTTTTGCCTGGCTTTCTGGTACTCCTCCCTCCAGCACTTGGAGCAGAAGCCTTGCCAAGCAGGGTTGCCGTAGTAACCACATCCTTTCTTGCACAGCAGCTCTGACTGATCCACATGAATTCCTCGGCGTTCAGACTTAAGGCTCATCTTCTTCCTGCTAACCAAGGGACAAATAGGAACATGTTGAAAATGAATTCCCTGTCATCCTACTAACTAAAGTCACAGCAAGTATGTGCAAAAGTATGTCCGAGTACATGAGAGTCAAGCTGGAAAGAAGATAGGAAGTCAGGAGGGACAGAGGGAAAGGTTAATAAATGAAGCAAATTCCCAACATATATTAATAAAAATGTTGCTTATTCCCTACTCAAAATATAAAGAACACTATAAGAAAAGACTATTACTGGACTAAAGACCTAAACATATGACCAGAAACTAGAGATATCATAAAAGAAAACATAGAGGGGAAGCTTCCTGACATTAGATTTGGCAGTGATTTCTTGGATATAACACCAAAAGCAACAGACGAATGGAATTTCATCAAACTTTAAAACTTCTACATAGTAAACAACAGAGTGAAAAATGGGAGAAAATACTTGCAAACTAAGTACCTGATAAGGAGTTAATCTCCAGCATATATAGGGAATTCCCTATAACTCTGCAACAATAAAAAACCCCCGACAAATAATCAGATTTTAAAATGGACAAAGAACTTGATTAGACAAGTCTCCAAGGAAAACACAGAAGTGGCCAACAACTGGGCATGGTGGTGCATGCCTGTAATCCTAGCACTCAGGAAGCTGAAGCAGGAGGATTGCCAGAGATCAAGGTCAGCCTGGGCTACTTAGTAAGTTCAAGGCTAGCCTGAACTACATAGAGACCCTGTCTCTTAAAAACAAACAAACAAACAAACAAATGGCCAACTATGAAAAGACACTATCACTAAGCATCAAGGAACTGCAAATCAAAACCACAATGAGCTATCACTTCACACCTATGTTAGAACAGCCACCTTCAAAAGAACCCTGCAAAAAAACATGTGTTGATGAAAAAAATGTGGAAAAATTAAAACCTTTCTGCACTAGCTGAGGGAATGTACTGTTATAGTCACTATGGAAAACAGTACAGGCCATTCCTCAAAACAAGCAAAAATAGGGCCCAATTCTAGAGATGCATCCTTGTAGTCCCAGCTACTTGTGAGGCTGAGGCAGGAGGAACACTTGAAACCAGGAGTTCAAGGCTAGTCTGGGCCAAATGGTGAGAACCTATCTCTGTTTGAAAAAAACAATTAAGAATAAAATCACTATGTAACTTGCCAATCACACTTCTGGTTATGTATCCAAAATCACTGAAAACAAGATCTCAAGGTGATATTTACACACTCGTGTTCACTGCAGCATTATTCACAAGTCAGAGGTAGAAGCAAGCTAAATGATGCATAAATTATACCGTATGTATGTATATATGTAAATATTATTTACAAAGAAAAAATCTGGTCATATCCTATAAGGTAGATGAACCTTGAGGACACTACGCTAAATGAAATGAATGAGTAGCAAAAGACAGTGGCAAAACTCTTAGTGACAGAAAGCAGAGCAGTAGTAGCAGGGGCAGGAGTGAGAAGGCAAAGAAAAGCAGTTGCTCAACCAGTGGGTGGAGGTCAGTCTTGCCAGAGGAAGACGTTCCAGATCCCACTGCACTGCAGCGCACCTGCTAACACTGAAAACAGCTAGGACGGCACACTCCACATCACATGTTCCTTACAAGAAAAAGTGCGTTTTCATTTTATTTAAAGAACAGATACTTCTTAGCTGCTACCAAAATAAAAGTGTACATTTTTGTCCCAAGGGACAAAGTGAACTCCTCCTAGCACGGTCGCAGGTGTGTCCAACCGGCAGGCCGTGAGCTGCAATGGGGCGCTGGGAAGCGGTAACACAGCCCCACGAGGTCGCAGACGTTTAATGGCTACGTGCTGTGTGGTGATATTTTCATGACCCCCGGGCACGCAGGGCTCAAAAGCAGACTGGGCGGCCAGCACCCAGAGCTACGCGGGGCAGGGCAGGGTGCAGTGCTAAGTCCATCGCCTGCGCAGCCACAGAGTCAGTGGAGCAGACGCCTGCGTGGAGCGGAAGCCTGCGTGGAGCGGACAGCACCGCACCTGTGACTTGGCCAGTGCAACGCAGCCATCACCGATGACAGCATTCCACCCCCGCCATGAGCGTGTGCGTGTGCACACGCGCACACCTGCAAAGACAGCCATTTGTTATTAAGCAAATTGTGTTATTTTGTAAAACAACTTAATAAATTAAAATAGTTTAGCAGCTATAGTATAGGAAGTACAAAAACTGTATCAATCTTTTTTGGCTCAGGATATTATAATTACATATACAACACTGCCAATACTAGAAAAATAAATGGTTGGTTGCTGCAATCATTCAACTCACAGAAAAATTTGATCATGTCTCTTTACTAGACTTTTCTTTTTGGTACTGGGGATTGAACGCAAGGCCTTTGCACTGAGTTACATCCTCAGCCTGTTTGTTTGTTTTTTGGTACCGGGCGTTGAACTCAGGACCTTGTGCTTGCTAGGCAGGCAGCAGCACTGCTCAGCTAAATCCCTGCCCATCCCCAGCCTTTTAAAAAAAGTTTAATTTTGATACAGGGTCTAAGTCACTAAACTACCCAGACTGGGTTCAAACTTGAGATCCCCTGTCTCAGCTTTCCAGGGTGCACTGTTTTTTAGTACACCTTTGTAAGACTGCCCAGAGAAGAATACCGCTCACTTTAAAATCACACCTTGTTCGTGGCATTACTTTTAGCAGCATGTAAAAACAACTTTTTTTTGGTACCGGGGATTGAACTCAGGTCCTTGCAGTTGCGGAGCAGGCGCTAGAACCACTGAGCTAAATCCCCAACCCAACTATTTTGTTTTTGAGACAGGGTCTCATTGCGTAGATCAGGTTGACCTGGAACAATGCGGCCCAGGCTGGCTTCGAACTCGTAGTGAACCTCCTGCCTCAGCCTCCCAAATGCTGGGATTACTGGCAGCACCACTACACCCAGCCTTGTGAACAACTGTTTTCAAGGATAAAGCACAGAATAAAATTAGATAAAAAATTTGACAAGCACCTTGAAAATTCACTGAAAACTGCAACCATTTCTGTCAAACCAGACATTGTTGTGTTAGTTTCACAAAAGCAAGGTCAAATATTTCTCACTAGTTCTATGTTGTCCTATTTTTTAATGTTATATTAAAATATTTTGAAAAGAAAGATTTGTTTCTCACATACATCCACTGTATTCTCTGTTTGATATACACTGTGTGCCCCAGTGAAGCCAGAGGCTGGGCCCCTGTGCTCGAAGTATTCTCAGTACTGTACACTGTTTGGCTCAAAAAGACTTTGCTTCAATGCTATGGAAGTGAGCATTTTATCTTGGCTGAAGTAATTTAACATCTACCAGAAAGTGAGCGTAATTAAAGCATCAGTATGGTTTTAACTGTTAAAGGCTTCCAGCAATCTAGGGCAAATTAACAGAGCTGCCCATCTGCCATCTCTCACCAAATGCCCAGTCTGCAGCAGGTACTTAACATGGTTATTCAATTCTCACAAAAGCAAAGTCAATGTCAGGAGAAAACTGAGGTTCAGAGAAACTTTTGGAAGTATATAAACCCTCCTGAAGCCAAGCAACAGGAAGGGATTCAGAACCAGAGATTTCAGAACTCAAACCACACTGTGTGCAACTTGCCTATCCACACTCACACTGCTGCCCTGATTTCAATCTCATCACCTTTTCCCAAACAAACCATGCACGCCCATGTTTCAGCCTGTGTTTTTCCCATACTTTTTTTTTTTTGGTACCAGCGATCAAACTTGGGACCTTGCATTTGTGAGGCAGGTGGCGGAACCACTGAGGTAAATCCCTGGCCCTTCCTATACTTTTCTTCTGCTCTTTTTTGGCCTTTGAGACAAGGCCTCCCTGTGTAGTTCAAGCTGGCCTCGAACTCACAGTGGTCCTTCTCTCTCAGCCTCCCTAGTGCTGGGATTACAGGTGTGTGCCACCACATCCAGTGTTTCTGCTGTTTCCTTTGTCTTCTTCTTGCTTGATGAGAAGCATCAGAAGCATGAGAGGAACTGCTGTGTCCTCCCACAGATCTGGGCATGGAGATGAGGTGTTCACTGTGGACTCTGCACCGCACACAGAGACGGGGCCAGTGTGTAACTCAGCCTTCATTTGGATGGTGAATAAGCTTCCCTTCAAGATTTGGCACCAATCTGAGGGCCTGCAGACAGTTATCAAGTTAGGACATCATCTGAAGAAACCAATAAAAATGTGCCTTGAGTTATTATGAAACCAGAGACTTAGTTATCATTATCCTTATTAGACTATCGGAAGACAATTCAGTTTTGCTGCAAAGCTATTTCCTGATTTTTCCTGCCAGGTTAAATATAACAAGGAAGCCTTCACCACCTCTGGCAAACACTGGATCTTAACAGTGTTGTTAGAAGGATTCATTTTATCAATCTCCGTATTTTTCTTGCTGCTATACTATGTGACAGGTGTTACAGGGGTAAGCAAGAATCACTAAGAACCCCTGAAAGTGGAGGAAGAAGTTCTTTCCTTCTGCTGATACACAGGAAGAGACAAAACTGACTTCAACAGAAAGAAAAATGCTTACAGAAAACCTAGTGGTGTCAGGGACTCACAAAATAGAATGTCAGCTACCTGACCTGGTTGTGTGGGACACACCTCTTAGCTACTTGGAAGGCTGAGGCAGGAAGACAGCTAATTTGGAGTCAGCCTGGGAAACTTGGTGAGCTTCTGTCTTAAAAATTAAATTAAGAAATTAAGTTAAATTAAATTAAAAGGACTGAGGATGTAGCTCCATGGTAGAGCACTTGCCTGAGTAAGCCCCTGGTTCAAACCCCAGTGCTGCCCCCCAAATCATCTACTCATCAAAACTAAACAATTAGTATCCCCATGTCAAAGCTGAAGAAACAAAAGGGATCTAAGGTCACACAAGTTCAAGCTAAAACCTGACATACATCTTCACAAGCTCAAATGCTAGTTTTCTTCTCCTCTCTATCACATTTAAACTTAAATGTGCACAGCACCACAACTGTTTCATTCACACTGACGTCACATGGTCTTCATTCTTCTTTCCATAAGCAAATGGCCAACAAGCAAGAGAAAGGTGGCACTTGACGGTGTGCATTCGAGAAACTCAAATGTGGACACAAAATGAACCCTACATCATGGGGATTCTACCATTTGTTCTGCACGAACATTTACTAAGTGTCAACTTCGTAACAGGACAGGACTAGATGCCACTGGTGACACAGTTGACAGAACACATCCTGGACCTCACAGAGCTCAGAACAGAGCAAACATTCTATCCGAGTGACACCCCCAGCCCCAGACCTATTCAGTAAAATGTAAAACCAGAGAGATGCTGTGATTTGGATCTTGAATGTTCCCCAAATGCCCACACAGGCTTCATCCCCAGCCTGGGCATCAATGGGAGGTGGTGGGGCCATCAGGAAGTGGGGCCTGGTGGGAGGGAGTTAGGTCACTGGGGGCCACTGAATAGGATGTGGGGACCCCAGCCCTTCATCTTCCTGTTCTCTGCTTCTGGCCACCAGGACTCCTTCACCATCCCAGCCATGATGCCCTGCCTTGTCATCAGCCAGCTGACCATGGACTGAAACCTCTGAAACACTGAGTTAAAATAAGCCTCTCCTCCTTCTGAGCCGTTGATCTCAGATATTTTGTCATAGTGACGAGGGCTACCACAACAGAGTTTGTCTTCCGGCATGATAAGTGAGGACAAGAAGTCCTCTTCTCCAAAGTCAACTGGAAAACTGAACAAAAGTTCTGCACTCTGCAGACAGATCGTGTGCGCACTCTACCTGGAAGCCCTTGGCATATTTTCTTCTGTGTACACACGAGCTCTGCAGTGCACAGCAGAGCCCTACTGGCTGGAAGTGACTAAACACAATCTCAATCTGCACAAATGACAATCTCTAGCTGAACACGAAGGTGTGTGACAGACACAGGGGACCTTTAGAAGGGGGTTAGGCCTAAATAAACTCAGGGGAAATGGAACACAGACATCAGCAGCTGCAGAGAAAGGGGACACTTGACACTTACTCCAGCTATAAAGCCTGAAGGGCACACACTGAACACTACCTTAGAGGAAGCTCAAAAGCGAACAAAACTGGGAAAGAAGACTGGAGTCAACCTACTACTAAACCCTAAGTGAGATGACCATTTCTCCCTCTAGTGTTACCAGGCCAAGTAGAAATGAGAGTGGGGCACAGAGGGATCTCTTCGAGTTCTGACTCAAGGCAAGAGAAAGGGAACTTCTGACAAGCAGACAAGAGAGAATGCAGAGACCTCTCCCTCTGCCTGCCCTACGCCCTTTCTCCTGAGCAGAGCCAAGCGATCAGGTGGCACTGCAGCAATGGCTAGAATAAGAGACTGCAGGAGCCCAACTCTGGCTACTCCACATTCTCTATCCTCCCACTGACTAGCCCAAAGGTGCAGAGCATGTGGAAGTACATGGCAGGGTAGAGAAAAGAAAAGCCTCCCACCCCCACCCTGCAAAGGGAACAAAAAGTACAGGAGAAAGTGCAAGACAAAAAACTCAAGAAAATAATTTCTAGCCAGGTGCATTGGTATATGCCTGTAATCCTAGCACTCTGGGAGGTTGAGGCAGGAGAATCACAAGTTCAATTCCTCCCTGGGCAACTTAGTGTCTCAAAAGAAAAGGGGGGGGGGTGCTGGGAATGTAGCTCAATGTGAAGGTCCTGGGTTCAATCCCCAACAGCCACTCCCACCACACACACAAGCAATTTCTGGGCTCACCCCTAGGCTATGCAGCCATAGGTCTAATGTCTTTCAGTACCAAAGATGTCAAAATTAGAAACACAGTACTGGAGAGAGGACAAGTATTAAACAGAAGGAAACAGCACTAAAGGGGCTTTGAATAATGAACTGACATTGGAACAGCAGCCCATAGGACTTGGACCCAAACTTGGCAACAAAAGGAAAATATTTTAGTCTGTTAATGACTACTTAAGAAAAATGAAAAAAAATTTTAAAAAAGAAAAATGAAAAGACAAAGTACAGACTGGGAGAAAATACTTGAAAGTCACATACTTGACAAAGAACTTACATAACCAGAACATATTAAAAGACTTTCAAGACTCAGCTGTAAGAAAACAAACCACCAAATAAAAAAA